GTCTAAAGATTTAAACGTGTAAATTGTGTGAGTTTTTTCGTGAATACATTTTGTATCAGTGTAGCGAATGATTGAAACTCGCGTGGGATCGTGTTTTGTGCTCGCGCATTTTTCAACCTTCATCCAATTTCCGAAAACAATTGCAGCACGCCCATCCACCTTTTCAGCAAGCGCGCGCGGACGAGATAAGTCCGGGGTTTTCGTCGCGGTCGCGCCGGGGATGTACGCTCGGGAACCGCGGAAATGGAACCAAGTTTGCGTGTTTGTTCACCCGGTCGGCGGGGGCGGCGAGGGGAGCGCGGCGCGTGGAAGTTTTGCAGGACGACGCACAAACACATTCCGTTCGATATAGGTGGAAGAAGCAAAACTCGTGCACTCACACAACAAATGTACGACGTCGACGTCGCGACGCCACGCACACCCTTACGTAAACACGCAAGACGCGAAACGCACCCGATCTCCGCTCCTGGCCCAGCGCTAGTTTTTCCTGTTTTTACATTTAGATTTGTTTTTTATAGATGCGCGCGTACGTGAACGCATACGTCAGGGCGAAAAAGGCGCGCACCGTCTTGGTCGTTTGCCATTCGCTTTTTCATATTTTCCATTCGTGAAGTAGGGTGGCACATCGAACAAACGCGCGGAGATATATATATTCACCGTAATTGAATTCCGTGCCTCTTCAACATCAACAAATTTATCATAAATACAGCAGGAATAGCTTTCGAAAGCTACGATGACTCAAACAAGGGCTGCGACATCAACGCGATCAAAAATTATTATCAGCGTTCCGCTTTCATGCACCGACATTATATTTTGCTGTTATAATTGAGCTACAAATCATTTTAATCTCAAAATAAAAACAGAAATGTATAGATATTGATTAAGACATTTACCGTCTGTTAGAAAAACTGACAAGTGCACACAAATCCATTAATTTTTCTTCGATATTTTTTCTACGAGTTATCCTTATAAATGGGACGCTATAAAAGTTTGTCGGGAGAGTCAGAAGCAAAAGCATCATGCACGCTTGTTTGTCGGCAATCTTTATCTTTGGACTGTTGTAATCCTAACAAATAACATTTTTTACTGCGTGAAATCCAACTGCGTTTTCATGTAATATATATTAGCTACGCTGAATGCCACCACACGAAAAGGGGTAGCTTCCAACGAACGTCACGCCGCCCGTATACGGATGCATTTTGTTATTCATGAAAGTATTTTCATACACGCGCAGAACGTGGCCAAGCCCAGGGAATACCTTCCGATTTTGCTTCTATATGCAAAATGTAGATATGCGGAAAAAGAAAAGAATAGCGAAAGAAAATGTGATTGGTTTTATTCGCAAACACAGCCATGTGATATTAAAGTTATCAAATATACCAGCCCGGTCAATATGTACCGACCAAAAATTATTTGTATATTTAAAAGAATTACATCCACCAGGGAATAATGCTGCTGGTGGGCAAATTCGACGGATGATATTTGTCGCGCAGATTTTCACTTGTAAATATGCAGGAAACAGGAATATTAGGTAGCTACCATGTTCGTGTGCGTTGTGTACGTTGGGGCAGGTCTCCCCTAGGAGGTTATCATTATTGTATGTACAAGTCGGCGCTGAGTGGTGACATTTTCACAAGGCCCCAGGGGAGTCGCGTAATTCCGCGCTCGCCGTGTGACATTTCTACACCCAAATGATCCATCGTCGGAAAACTCCTCGCACGACGTGTGCGTTCCGCACAATCTCTCTCGCTTGTGCCGCTTGCTCGTAAAGCCGCCACCGCCGTCGTGATTTATTATTAATTTTATTCTGATTTGTCTGGAGAATATCTCCATTGCGGAAATAATAACGGCCGCCAAATTTACGACCGACTGGGAGAGACAGAGGAAGGGGAACTCTTCAACCGAAATGTTATTCGACATTTTACACACTCGATGAACTATATATCTATCAAGTTCGCTTTAGCAGGTTTTAAAAATATCACCGCGTTGTGGAACGTCGAGATGGAGAGGAGCTTTAGAAGAGCTAAGATGCTTATGTAAGCATTACCCACTTATGCAATGTCGACTCGACGAGCCGGGTCTATTTATTGAATAATTCCGATGGGATAATTTTTTAAGTGCATTTGGGATTTTCTGATGCCCGCCGGTGGAGCTCTAGCCCCCGGTATTATGTTAAGCAAGCATCCATCAGCGTGTAGTCCTAGTCGTAGGTTGCAGACGTGACGGCATTTTGTCTTACACACGTGTGCAGAGGCTCATGCGGAGCGGAACGAAACGATAGTAAACTTGAGACCCAACCTTTTATGCTCCTCCGAAGGTCCGGGTCAGAGAGGGCCGAGTGTTTAATGATGCGAATAAACGAGAACATACATCGTTAGTCTTTGCGACCTGGCGCGCGCACGCGTGTTAGTATTCCTGTGTGGGTGGGTGTGTGTGGGAAGCCTTTGTGCCACGCAGCACGTCTCCGCGTCGTCGCTTCCACCGCCTCCAGAAACCTTTTGCAGGGCGCTCTTGTGTTTGTTGGCCAGCGCCGCTGCTCGACGGAAACTTGCGCGGAAAACTAAACGCTCCTCGTCGTCCTCTCTCCCCACGTTAATTGTATGTTCAATTTTAACTCAGCACGTTTTCTTCAGCGGCCCAGCGCTCTCGCCTGAGCGAAAACCGCCAATTTCAACGCCTTGCGCGTTTGCTCACTGCAAACTTCAAAGTTAACCGGTTTCGCACCAGAAGGGAAGGCAATGTTTTTATGACCTCGGCGTGAAACAACAAACGAATTCATCTTTTAACGAACGCGTAGCGGAGCGCGCTCCGCACGGTCGCGAAACAAAAACTCTTTGTGATTTTATTGCTTTTTTCCTTTGGGTCGTCGCTTTGCTGGTGTCGCGTGGTCACAAAGTTACGATTTCGATTGCTTTTCTCGCCATTGCTCCGGACTGTGATTGCTGGGTGAAAAGCACCACTGGCTTACCATTGCGGTGTGCGAGTTTGTGAAATTAATTAAAACACTTAAAAAGTGTCGGATCGCGCTGCGCTGTTTGCGAAAAGTATTATTTGCGGTTTGGGATTAGAGACCCGGGGGCGGCGGATTTTACCACTGCCGTCTGCACGCTGGTGCGGGAGAACTGAAGCGGTGATTTTTAAGCGCCGTGCATTACTGCTGGAATGTGCAGTAATGCAAAGCTGATACTTTTTGTGCGCTTGCAAAATTTTTTGACGCGTTCGCGGATTAACGTCCGTGACGCATTGCAACGATGGCGAAGCGTGGGTACGATGATGCACCCGCGCACTACCCATATATCTCTTTTAATAGTAAAGCGGTTTTTGCTCGACGCCCGCGCGGAAACTACGATCCGCCGAATTGGATTTTTAATTGTAGTAACGCGAAATAAATTAGTTTAATTTCCATAATAATGCTTAGCCACGAACATAAAAATGCGATACTCGTCCGCACGTAGTGGCGCTTTATCAAGCCGCTCTCGAGCGCGCCCGGCATTAAATATCTACATTAAATATGTCAGATTATAAGCTATGAAGCTCGATTTGCATAATTGCATTGTTTCAATGTGTGCGCGGTGGTGTGATATACCGAATATAACGCTTGTGATATACACTCGCCGGTGCTAGCGCTGGCGTGCGAGCGTTATTATATTTTTTTCTATTTTCATTTCCAGCGCGCTCGCGCTTTTTGCCTCGACGCGTCGCAGGAAATTGCGAAACTGGCATCGGATTGTTTCATTTCGATTTTTCCGAACGCGCACCGCTGAAAACTTCTCCCCCGATATATGTGGTCGGCCTCTTTTATATTTAATCGTTATTTCGAATCGACGTTTTTGACATGTTGTTACCAATATATTCGAGAGGGCAAACTGCGATGACATTTTTGATATTCTAGGTGTAGTGAGCGGGTGGTTTGTGCATCCGCGACGACGGATACGTATGAACATATTGTTTAATCTCGTTTAGCATGCGAGACAATATGACGGCGGCGGCGATGTTGGCAGCGCCGGCTGCGACAAAAGAGCCGAAGGCGGTCTTGCCGGAATTGCGGGCTTGCCGTGCTGAATCGACGTCGGCCTCAACGCCGCCGCCAGCGGTCTCGCCTGTCATGACGAACGCTTAACGATGAGTTATTGCCTATCTGTTGGACTGAAAAGGGGAAATGGGAAGGAAAAGCTCCTCAAGTTCCAATCTACTTCGACGGCACGTGCTTTTATTTTGCTCGCTATGCACTGTTTTCAGCCACTTTCAACTTTTCTTAGCTAATACAGAGCCGAATTTAGATGCAATAATAATTTACCAACTCGCCAACCTACTGGTATCGATCAGGGGCTTAAATATTTAGTTCAACTTGACCTAGTAACTGAACGTCTTGACTTTGATTTGATATGTTAGATTCAACCCTGACGCGAGCTGCTTTGCTGCTTATTCACCTGATATAGCAAACATTTTAATGGAAATTGCAACCTCGAGCATAACCCACGCCCCTTCAAACGTTCACCGTCGACGTTTCTAAACATTTACCGCTTGCACTGCTCGCTGCGCAAATATATTAGTCGAGTTCAAGAGTGCATTATGATATTCTCTTACAAACGGTAAAAGTTAATGCCAGCATTCGTAGAAAACTACAAACGGAACACGCGGGCCTGGAGCGCGTACGTAGGGATAATGTTATTAGGAAGTTTTTGACGACAACTTTACATGTGCATCGATGCGCGCATCCGAGACACGGCGCGCACAACAAACGAAATGCAGCGCGCAAACAGCGGCAACATGTTCAGAAAGTGCGCGTGAAACTTGCTTGCCCTTTAATCTACGGAATGCGGGCGCGGCATTGTTGGAATGAAAAATCTGTGCACATAAGTTTTAAAATAGTAAATCCGGGCTCGGTGTTGCGGAACGGACAAATAACAAACGACATCGGAAACCGCGACATTGATGCAGTCGCCATCGCCACCGCCACACTACGATACTAACTTTTTTCCTTTTGCTGTTTGTTTCAGGTTTCGGATTTGTCACATTTCAAAGCGAAGATGTTGTAGATAAAGTTTGCGAAATCCACTTCCACGAGATTAACAATAAAATGGTAAGTTTTTATCGCGATACTTTATTATTTTTATAGATTTCCTTCGCTCTCCGGTTTGTCCTTGTGTATGACTTTTCCCGCTCCCGCTCCTCGCCACTCCCAGCCGGACGCGCACTTTTTTCGCCGCCGTCTTATATCTGTTTGTGCTCTCTTTATGGACGAGACGGGATGCGGAAAGTTTCCTTTATGGGAAATGAAATAAAGCAATTTTCGATTGTCTTCCGCCCAACTACACATGCTGCACCACATCAATGCGCGTCCATGTTCGTGGTAGTGCTGCTCGAAGGGGGTCGTTCGCGTATTCAGTGCGAGTTCGGTCTGTAATGCAACTAAATTGTATAGTTTGGAGCGTGGGTCTCGCGCGCGCACCACTCGCCTCCAAGCTTTGTTGAGCTTGTTATTTGCCGGAGCACGTGGACGCATCAAAAATAAATGGTTCTTATAAGTGGCGCGACCGTTTTCGAAGCTTCTTATTAGGGCCGAAGATTAATAACCCACCCGTTTCCATCTAACGTTTGCGCGCTTGTTACCTCCTTCGTTGGATAAAATTGGCACTGGCTTTCCGGGAAGGTAGTTTACTCAATTGACCGAAATTTATTCCCATTCGAGTTGTCCTTACGTTTGCGTTCTGAATGCACGTGCTGCATATGAAGATGCGCGATGGGATGGGAGCGGCTTATGTGCAACGCCGGATGGCGACACATGTAGCACCTACGACCTGGGCGTTTTCCGACATTCTTCCGCATAAAGTAGCGCACGCGGATGCCGGCTCTACAACGTCGCCCCCGCTTGGTGCGCTAGCGGGGCCGTAGTTAGAATATGATTCCGCAGCGGAATTTCCATGCGCCCGTTTTCCCCTGACAAAGCACTCCTAAACTTTACAAGCCGGAGCTTTATAGCGAAGCCCGCCATATATCTTCCAGTCTGTTTCCGCGGCCAATGGCATGTCTTACAATCAAGAGTGATTTGCAGGGTACCGCTTCCAATTACGGAGGAACTCTTGAACTTTACCACTACCCTTTTCCCTTCTTCTCGCCCCGGTCGCTTGCTTCTGCACCCACCCACTCGCCCACTGGGATAGGTTGCATGCATGCACGTACCGCGCGAACGGAGGTAGAGAGCCAGGAACCTTTCGATACTCTTCGGGCACATCCTCCGGGCTCGATTTTCGACAACGGCGATTCCTTCTTGTGCCCCGCCGCTGTCAGCCCGACTCAAACTCTCACCCGCCGCCCGCCCGCCGTACGCACGCACGTATTTCACGTGCAGCACCAGCTTTCCGAAGTCCTCTCCTTTCTTTCAAACTGATTTACTATAAAATATTATACGCCCTACATAAATTTATACGTTATTTTCCCCGCTTCATAAATCTACTGCGTAAAATGCCGTTCAGTGCGCGACGCGTATAAAAGTTTTTTGATAACGTTTTGCACTTGTCGTTTCATGGAGCACATTTTGAGAACGGTTACGATTGGAATATTCGAACTCATTCGAGCGCATTAGAAGGTATCGTTTCTGGAGGACACAATGGGAAACTGGGTAATCTTTTTGCCCGACGATATTTAAACACTGTTTAATTCGACGACGCAGTCGGAAGGAGAGATTACCAAGTTAAAATAGTGACTCGCGTCGCGATCTAAAGTCTTTAGAAATCTGCCGGCGCTTGCCAGCTGCATGCGCTGATAATAAAACTCGACTTAATTAGTTTCCAAGTTGTCTGCTCGACGCGACCCGGTTGAACGACGACGACGACGACGACGCCGCTGCCGATGTGATGGAATTTATACAATATAAACGAGACTCGACGCGCGCGTATACAACAGCTTATTTATGATTAATGAAGCTACACATAAGAATCTATTAATTTACTTTGAGCGCCTTGCGAACCCTTCACGAATCGGCATTTTCCATCACATTTTCCGTGGTCCTCGTAATTAACTTTGCACGCGCACAGTGGATTATGATCATTAATTAATGCGTACATTGGTGTGTGTCTGTTTTCAGGTGGAGTGCAAGAAGGCGCAGCCCAAGGAGGTGATGCTTCCGGCCAACTTGGCGAAGACCCGAGCGGCCGGCCGCGGCGCATACGGTGAGTTGCTCTTGATGAACGCCGGCCCGGTGGCGAGTGCTGCCGCCGCCGCCAGCAGTGCGCTGCGCTACGCCCCCTATCCCATACCCACCGCGAGCGCTAGCATGCCGGTGGCCACGGCCGGGCCCGGCGGCCTGCCGATGGCGCACATCGCCGTGGCCCCGGCGCCCCTGCATTATGCTTCCGCCTTGTACGATGTGACGGGATGTAAACGAGTGTTCGCCACGCCGGCGGGGTTGCGCCCCATCGCGGCCGCCGCCGCGCGTCCTCCTCCCGCGCTCACCTACAGCATGAGCGACCTGCTCGGCGTGCAGGGCCTCGACCTGTCGGCGATCTACGCCAACACTCTGTCGGCCGCCGGCTTTGGCCTTTAGATACTCTCCCTGTCTCACTAAGCCACCATTTACGTATATCCCGAAGCTATAATATTTGAATGTTGCACCACGCCAGTTTTACGCGTATACAAATCGCAGTTTTTCGAAATTTGCTATGCTAACGCTATAACTATATCGAACTTGATCCATTTATGAAAATCAAACACTTTCGTCCATTTAAAAATCTATTTATAATGAATATTTACGAATACGAAGCGCCAAAAAAGATTAGAATATGTATTTTTCTACGTTTAGTCTCACACAACCAACTAAAACGATTTGATTTACTTATTAATCTCAGTCCATCTTGGAAAATCAGTATTTAACATGCTGATTTCCCAAGTGATGTTTGCGAGTGGTTTTATTTAGCGTTGATCAGATGCTTACATAACTATCACTAACGTCGTGCTGATTTAACATATCGAAAATCGAGGCCTGAGGACATTTCAAAGTAGGTATTTCTATAGTAACAAAATTGATGCAAAGCCAGAAATGATACACTGCTATTGAGTAAGTAGAATTTAGCTGTTTAGATCCCGTCACGTCGGCGTTTGCTGAAAAAAGTGATCATCGTGAAAGTCTCCCAAAAAACGTGTCTTAAACTTTTTCTTCGAGGCCGGCCGCGATTAATGAACAATGCAACGTTTTGTAGTTTTCGTTATATGATTTTTTTCCGTACGAAGGACATTTGTGATAGTTAATAGCGCAGTTAATGGAGTATTATTGCTTCGAGATACATAGATATACGAACTCCTTTGTAATTTGCTGCATTATTTGCGTCGATTCGTAACGATTTTGTATTAGGCCTCGCGCTGCGACTTGCATAGCGGCGCATTTGGTTATTTCATAAGTAATCATAGTCGATAGTGATTTATGTAATTCGATCGTGTGCGCAACGTCAGCAAAAGATGGCTGCGGTCGGTTTTCGTTGCACGCACGCCGTCGACAAAATTGACAACACGAAAAAATCACCAAACAAACAGCGGGGCTGAGTGGAAAGAAATTGACCATCAATCTGCCGACGACTTTGTAATTTTATTTTTACATAGTTTTATTAAACAATAACGACTCCTTGTACTTAAAATCAACAACGTTACGCAATAGGTACTTAAATTGTTTAGCAGTAAATTTACATCCATAGAATCCATAACGAGAGTCCTCTGCCTGCGTAATTAATTGCGTAATTAATGATTATACATTTCCAACTCATTTTTATAACTACTTGTTATATATTATACGATTTTTGTGCGATATTTTATAGGTAAAGAGAGAGGGTAAACAGTGTTTATAAAGCGAGTATTAGCGTCTGTTAGCTGAATCTTAGTCGAGCTCTACCAACACCCACACTCAAAACTTGTATGCTTCCTGCTCTTTCGTAAGTTGTGCGCGCGATCGGCGGGCTCGAGGAGGTCCTCGCTGGTGTGCGAAGTAGAACGATCTCCTCGACCGCCATCGTGCGATTAATATTACATTTGCCAGCCGAAAAGTCCGATACTTTCGCTTGGGACGTGCGATGGAAGCGGAATTTGAAATATTTCATTATGAGAGCAAGCTTATGAAAGACGCGGCCGTAACGCCCTTAACGTTAAAAGGTTGACGAAATAGGTATTTCACTAAAATCTCTGTGTGTATGTATTTATTCAAGTTAATTACGTATTTATAACGTTTAATTGATGTACACTTGACGGCCCGCCCACTGCTAGAGTGCTCGGGTTGATCAATTATCTAACTGTTGTTCTAGCGAGTAGTAGCGTTTGTTGTTTCACATATTTTATGAACCATATATAATCACATTTAACATTTTAGTCCAACTAGCAATAATAATTAGGCTTAACATAATTATAACGAATTAGAACAGTATGTGTGCGTGTGAATGATCGAATGCGAATTTGCAGATGTATTTTGTATCGAAACATTATTCATTATTCGTGAGATCGTGAGTGCCGGTCGCGCCGGTGATAATTTCGGTAATGTGCTAGATTATATTTGTTTAGTCGGACACGTAGTGTGGCAAAAATGTCATGGATGCTTTTTCGATGACGTGTGGCGAAATAGAATAGTTTGGCGTGTTATTTTTGGAATCCGCCCCGTTTTATTTGCGTTTTCGTTTTCTTGCGTTCGAAGCAAACATTTTATTTCTATTTTGTTGGTCTCTACGATTGCATATTATATTTTTCGTAACGTTTTCGATTCTGTTTTTGATAAGCGCGGGGCCGCCCATGAATAAGTTACTAACCGTTTACTTTTTTTGCTCTTTATAGATTTTATGTGGTCACTTGGAGCTCTACCGGACGGTGAGTTTTAATATTTTACATATCTGTGTTGCATGATGCCCAACAAAACAACCAACCTTCTACTACATATATGTATGTGAATGCCGTATGCAATAAGCGTCGGGAGCGTGCTGTGCCAACTTTCCAGGAGAGAACGCCACGAGGACGCACCCGAAAAAGAGGAGGACTGCAAGCCAGCCGGGCGCGCGTTACGACGGAAGGAATTCAATAAGCTGAATTGTACAATATCAGATGTTCGTTTCAATTACAATATTATTGAATTATTATGTGCAATTGCACGAACGAACTGCGGAGCGCATGGCGCCGCGCCATTCGATACTCGAAATTATTTATTAGCGATAATTGCTTTCTGCAGCCAGGCGTGGGCTTCATTCCTTAGAGCATTTGATATTGTACGAGTAGCGTTTGCATTTGCTAGCTTCAGCGTATGATAAATTATTTACTAGTTGCATGCGAGAGGAAGGCACGGAAGGAAAGCAAGAATCCAAAACCAATCGTCATCAAACGTAGTGTGTATTGAAATGCAGGCGAGTCGGGCAAGTGTAGAACACGTAACGATAACAAGGAAAAGAGAGAAATAATTAGACTCAAGTATTGCAAAATCGTCAATATTCACCAAAACAACAACAAAACCAGGACATATGCGAACGCTTACGCATTAAAACATGCTTGAATCCTCTATCAAACTTTATCCTCGCTCTTATACTCGTAATCTTCTAATGTCATCACAATTTCTTGGGAATATATTATACGTTGGTGTGTTGAAGTGGACACTGTGTGCTAATATAATGTGTTTCCTGTTGCAGGTTTTCCCGCCGCGTACGCAGCCTATGCCGCCGGTCGAGGTTATTCGGGCTATCCTAGTTTCGGACTACCGTATCCCACAGGTAATGCTTTGGCCAGTTTACATCACCATCATCCACTGCCGCTGCTCCCGTACCCTCTCGAACATCTAGGGGTGTACGGCGGGCCGGCCAGCCTGCATGCCATGCCCCTGTGAACGAGCGCCTTGCCCTCATTACTCTCTCTATCAAAACATCTCTCTGTATCTCTGTTGTCACACGAGCTTCCGTACTCGAATCTCGATTGATACTAATAATGACAGAACCGCATAATGTCCGATGTGTGCATAATATGCATTCGACATATACGCGAGTAGGCACCAACCAACCAACAAACCAACCTTTTGTTCTTGTGATCCGCCATTGTTTGTTGTTCCGTTCCGCCACTAATTACGCATCCGTTTCTCTCTGTATTTTACGTATTGACAAACTCGTACTAACGACAAAACAATCACAAGTATACTGTGTTTACGACTTGTATAAATATATATTCTCTACTCACAAGTAACGATCGATTTGTAAATTATCATCCAGTAAGTAGGGCAGTACTTACTTATTAGGAGTTCTTTTTAGTGGACTTTACCTAGGAACTAAACATATATTAGTTTTGATACGTTGAAGTTTACCCTCTATTTAAATGATAACTATACCATATCAGAGATATTGTAGTGGTAAATTGATGATTTCGTTTTGATTTTTGTTCCATTTGTGTTTTGAATCGCCAACATGGGTCGGCATTGTCGGCATTTTTAATATGTTCCAACAAATAACCAGATTTATGTTGTAACATTTCGCATGCAGTGCGTGCGCTCGGTGACAAATGACACACGCAGGCGGCGTGCGAAAAATATGGCCGCAAGACCAGCAAATGTGCGGCGAGGCGCGCTCGAGTGGTGGGGGCGGCGAGCACCACGAAATCATTTTAGAATTCATGGCTAGTTGAAAATTTGACAATGCAATTTGCCCTTTATGCATAAATAATGTCCGCATTAACTCGGGAGTTTAGATGAGATAATGGCGTAACGCGAGCGACACCTACGCTGCGCGAACACCAGTTGAAACACATAATTCGCCCCGCCGCCGCTGCCGCCACTGCCGACGTCCTCGCTTCTATCTGCCCCGCTGCGTTTTGTTACGTTTCTGTTACGATGTATTCCTCGCGGCCGACCCGCGTTTTGTGTTTCGGCCCTTAACGCTCGCGCCATTTAAATTTACGACCCACGATGAGAAAGAACGAGAGAGCGCCACCCCATGGGGCGGCGCAGTTGGCAGCACGTGCAGTGAGAGTGCAGAGAGAGAGGATGCGGTGATCCAGATGCTCATGAATACCGGTCGTAACAAATCTTATACACAATGCGGCTAACTACCGTCTACATGTACTCGTAGAGCAAAATGCAGTTTGTAACTTCTTCGCTAGCCGCCGCAGCCGCCGCCGCCATGCGAGCCAAAAACGTTATTCTATTATAATGATATATCGTGAACGTAGTTGTTGTAACGTATCATAGCCTGGGCGGCGTGACGTTTTACTTGGAATTACGGCGCGACGCGCGTTCTTTTTTCGATAACGAGTATCTTTCTCCTAGCGTTTGATTGATAGGTAAAATAGATAGTTAGGGTAGTTTTGGCTAGTTGCTAGCGGTTTACGCATTAGGGGTAGCGGTATCTAAACTTTGAGTATTCGAACGCAAGCTAAGTGCTAAGAGGTAAATGTAGGTCATTTAAATATTGCTATAGGAACATTAATCGTAGCTTGCCTAGCGGATGGATAGGTCTAACTGTAGGTAACTGTTAGGTAATCGGGTGTGATGATCGCAACTGACGCACGTTGGAGAGAGCATCGCCCCTCCGGAAGTCGGGCGCAGGAGCGACGCAAAATTCAACGTAATTGAATTTCTTTCGGTTTCTTTTTTATTAGGTTAGCTTCGATACGGATTTGCGTGCCCTTATCAATTTCCACGCGTTACCTTGTGCCACACCGAATAAACCACTCTCGCCACTGGCCAGCGAGCTTATCAAGGTTATCTCTTCAACTTTGGGGCTCGAGTCGTTTATTTGGTGGTCGCAGTGGTAACGCAGTACGAATCAAGAATCAATTAAAACAAATGTGAAACAGCTCATAAAATTATATATACCTACTATGAAGCATGAATTAAATTTAATGCAAAAAGAAAATCAAATGACGTATTCGGAAGTACATATTTTTGATCGCGCCAATAATGATTGTTAATCATATCATAATGTTGATTCGTTATTTTTCTATTGTCTTTCAAAATGATGCAGTGATGCAGATGTGAAGGTGTAAACTAATGATAAAACAAAATGAAAATGAAAAAGAATTCTAATTCTATACGATTTGTTACCACTTTAAATTAATGATAAATTTAATCGTACGATACGCTTGTTCTCAACAAAAATCATTCTTTTGATAATCGCATCAAAGCGCTACAAATTCTGTAAATTTTCGTAAGTCAGCACCTCGATGCCTCTAAAACAAGCAGCCGTCTAATCGATGACGACAATGTCCGCGGCCCCGTCCCACCCTCCATCCAAAATGCAGAAAGACACGAACGTCAACAGCGCTGACAAGCGTGTTCGATGTGTGTGCCGGCGCGGTTTGGGTTGATGAGTTTTCGGCACCTGGGATGCGAATAATTCAAGTGCAGATTTCAAGCATAGAAAAATCAGAAAAATGGCACCGTTCACAGGAGCATGGTATTTGTGCGTGTTAGAGATGAGAAATTATTAAGCAAACTCGTCCGAACTTGGGATAACCCCATCCGCGGCGCGCTTAAAAAAAACACTCTGTTTTCTATTGACCCTGATTATTTGCCGCATGCAAACCACCCCACCCTACGGTTATAGTCTTAAGACAAACCGAAGGTCTCAATCTTTGAAAACGCACCTGCAAGCATTCGATTGTGTGTGTTTTCTCGGCGGGTCGCGCAACTCAATCATTGTTCCACCGGCGATCGTGTGACGTAAATGTTATAACGACTCGAGGTCGATATCGACGCGCGATAAAATCGTGATTGATTTGCCCGACGCCTCCGCTGAAAACTTCACGTTTATGTTAATGTAAACCACCGACACAAAATTTTTACCTTGCCATTGCCGTACCAACTGTGCGCCGTCATTTTTCTCTCCGTGTGTGTGCGAGCGCGCACGTAACGAATGTATGTACTTGTTGCCAAAGCATACGTGTTACTGTTACGCTGCTATCGTATTAGCAAAACAAAAGCAAATCGACGTAAGTCATACATACTTTCAATCTGCTTAATGGAATCCATTTCGATTGCGGCTTACACATAAGCAAGCGGCCACAGCATTAATCAATGTGTATATTGTGTAATGAGCCATCAACCAGGGCAAGCATAAATTACGAGCAAAGCATAAAAACAAACGAAAAATCACAAAAAAATCCTGTACGTATGTATGTAAGGTTGTTGTATGTGTGTATAAGGCAAACTGTGTTAAATATTAATTCGATGTTATTTTTAACTATAAGACTGTTGCTTGTTGCAAGTCAGCGTACCTATACAACAATATATAAATATCATATTAATATAATTAAAATTATTACGTTTTAAGGCAATTAAATAATGATATGTAAGATAATAAACAGATGTATTATGAAAGCCATCGACGTGTTTCAAGATGTAGACGTGTGAGGGCCGCGTTAGTACGCTCCTGTATTTCTTTTTATATTCTTGAAGGATTGAAGCAAAGCATGGAGTAGCAGACGAAAGGATAGAGGGAATAAAAGAAAATGTGCGCGCCGAGGTCTAATTAGCGCAGCCTCTTGAAAATTTACATCTGAATCATAGCTATTTAGTCTATGGTGCCATGGCGTCGAGCGGGCCATTGAGTTAGTGAAAGGGAAGCCATCTTCAGTCAAATCCGCACGACAGAACGACAGCTGTTGTTGTTCGCCACTTTAAAGAACTGAGGCAGATGTTTCACCTTCCTCTCGGGCGTTTCTGTAATTTCGTAATTCCGAATGTGCGCAGCTATAGTGATTTAGCAGTACAGGCCTGGCGGAAGCTGTAGTGTTGCTAGCAACAGTCATTCCGAGTCCGGGGGGCGGCCGAGATTATCGCTGCATCCATCCCGACCTAAGTACGTAACATTCTATCTGCGCGACGGTAGTTTCAGTCTCGGCGGGATAGACCGGTTACGCGTTATACATATTTCACAAGAACGCGCTCACCTACTTTATACAGTTGGCCCGAGTTTGACGCACACATCCCTTGGTGGTGTGTTTGGATGGAAGCCGCACGTTCAGATTATTGATTGCCCACACCTTAAGATTTGCATTTTATGTAGATCAGAACGCCGGCTAAACGCGTTCGATTGTTATCAACATCGGCACATGATTTTTCCCCAAACGCGTAGAAATAACTTATTTAAAATCCGACACGACAGCCGCGTGAGATACAAAAGACGCGAATTGATTGCCGCAATTAAGTAGTTGGCGGCGTGCAGGCGCTGAGTAATGCGTGCGGCGTTCGCGAATCCAGAAATATTAATTGGCTCGTTAATTGTCACTACTGTGGCGCAACCCTTTCACTGAATAATCTAATGCGAGAGCTTTTGCATTAAATTTTGCTGACATGATTTTATATGAAATTAGAATGATTCAGATGAAAATTTTGATGAAGAGCGAATTATAAAGATGATCTAAAGATCAAATTTTATTCTATTCTTTGAGAAAGAGAACATAGGTGTACTGAAGTTCCCGAAGCCGACTGGAACATGATTGCGATGATTTACCAGAGGGGCGAGTAATCATTTTCTCAACTAGAACGAGTTGTATAATGTTTGATATCTTTTTATTAACATTGCAGTCATAGCAAAAGAGTTTAGCAGTCATGTGATCAGATCTAAATCAATGTGTTTTATTATTACATATCTAGAATAATAGTACATAGTACAATTAGTACAAGTACAGTCTTCGTTAGAATAGACGCAGAAAGAAATAAAGCGAATATTGTTGTAGCGCTTTTAAATAAAGAGATTACTCTTGTATCACCAAAAAGTGTAATAGTATAGGTACAAAACTAGCTGACGAGTATTACTTAAGTGTATTTACAATGTTGTTGTTTTTACACATCTTTAAATATTATTATTATTATTAGTATTTAGTGAAATAGTTTTAGTTATGTTGTGTGTAAGAGTAGATTGCGTGCCCGGCGCGCAGCGTGTGCGAGTGGTTTATTAATTGATAACGTTGACAACGTTGTCATACTGACTAGTAGCTAGTATAAACATTTGTGTAGTTGCAATTAGTGTACCCGAGTCGCGTCCATTGCGGCGCGATCTAAGCTCATTACCATCGATAGTCGGGCGATGAGCGATATTAGTAACGCCTTAATTTACGATAATCATTGATATAGATATTTGCCTAGAGCAGAGTATTATTAATCTTGTGTGAACGTATATTATTGTAATAAGTTAAAAGTCATTCTAGCATCACACATCATCATATAACACACTAACACACACATTTACGCACGCCCATCATCACACGTCTCACAACATCGGCGGCAACGAATATAATGCGAATGTACGCACGGACGGGTCCGGGGGCTGCTTTGCACTTTCATATTTCAGACACTGGGGGACGTGCAATGCGTTGCAAAAAGCAAAACCGAAGCGCGTTCGACTAATTTTATATATTTCATCATTCCTTCGATGATTTTCTTTTTCGCGTGTATATTAAAAGCTGTCTGGTCGCATGATAGATGAATGCGAGACCGTGCCGACCGCCGAAGAACGTTTTCTGTCGATAGGACAGGACGTTTTTCCATTCCGATGTTCATCCATCAAACGGCGACGGCGTAACGGCATCGCTGTACGTGTGCGCACATCCAACATCATTCGGCTCGTTGGAGCACACATGCATCATGTGTGTGTGTGTGTGGGTGTGCATGAGCGGCGGCGGTTTTACAACACAGCAAACATACATCGTCGCGTTGTTCGTGTTTTTAATGTCGAGCCAAACCAGCCAGTCCGAAATGTGTGTTGTGTATAAAAATGCTCGAGCGCTATGCTGGTTTATGCGCGCGTCGTGCATTTTTATTAGGAAATTTTAATTTCGTCCCTTCGCTCGGAAAAATTGTACGCGTACACCTTGCTTGCACGTGCACAGCGCGCTGCTTAATATTAAAGTGCGACATTTCGCTTCCCCGCATGTTGTTTGTATGTGTGCAGTCGTATTTTATTCGTTGCTCCCTCGACGTTGCGGCCAGCGACGGCATTTCATTGTCACTAAATACTTTCGTATTTACACGCCGCATAACTGCCACTAATATTCCCACCACGATAACGACCGACTACTCGAAACCGTGATACGACGCCACGACGATACGACAACGCGATAATGCACCCATTCGCAGACACACCACATACACACCCCCACTCACATCTACTCCACACTGAATATTACATATCCGTAGCATGTAGAATAATATATCTGTCACGTTTATCAACCCCAAATTAATCTGCTGTGTTCTATGTGTTTTCCAGTGGATTTAACCAATGGGCAGCTCACACCTAACAATAACACTCCACTGTTGACTCAAGCATTGTCAGGTAATTACATTAATTATTTCTGCATGCATATCTTTCCTCGGCAGTCTGGCATGCCATCTCTGTGTGCTCGTCTCCTTCCTGCGCGCTCATTGTTTTCACGAACTGCATAAATTTTATCTAGTCTCACGCCGTTGCGAACTTTGCGCAATGGCGCCCATGATAAAGAAGTCGATTAAGAAGCAAAACAATCCCTTCAACGCGCTACTTTCATAATTTAATCGAGTTGCGCGAAACTACTGCGATTTTCTTCCATCGCGGTTTGTTTCCAGCATCATTCTTCGTTCTTCTTACTTACTCTTCAATCTTCTCTCTCCTCTTCAATTTAGTAAATTTAGGGTCTGTTTAACCGCGAGCCACTTTGAATGGTGCTTTTGTATTGTATCGCGACGCATTCGTAATTTAGTCTAGTCGAAAATAGACCAAGTAGCAAATTATTCCGCGGAATTGAAGCAAATAAGAACTATTCAAAGCGGCCACGGTCGGCTCCAGTTTGTTGTTGTCTTCCAGCAGGGTCGCCCGCAACAAATTGGAGCCAACCGTCGCCGACCGGCACCGACCGAGCGATCGCCCAACAACAGTTGTACGTTTCATTTGCAGTGATGAACAACTATCAAGCGGCGGCTGCAGCGGCACAGGGCTTCGGCCCGCCAGCGTCGCCCCACACGGCTAACACGCGTGGCGGCTTCCCGGCGGCGAACTCACCCGGTCCTACCATCGACATGTACAACAGCAGCGCTGGCGACAGTGTCGGCTATGTGCAGGCCGCCAGCCCCCAGCCGTCGTCATTTCCCGCCATCGCCGTCAGTCGGGCTCCTCTCAACTACAGTCCGGTAAGTCGCTTAAATGATTACGATAATGTGTTGTTGGTACAACTATTGTGCTCTTTATTTGCAGGGTCCACTAATTCCTGCTGCATTCACCAACGGCTATCACTGAGCTCCTCTCGGACGTTCCGGTGTTGCGTGAGACGACTCGGCAGCCACTGTGATGTCATCACACCTGCACTTGTACATTCACTCTATGTGTATAATATAATAATGTAGCACCCCCTCTTCTCCGCCAGGCGCGGCCCACTTGTTGTTGTAATGTTTGGTGTCAACGTGCCGCTTCGCCGCCCCCGGAGTTCGCCCAGAGGCCCGCAACCAAAAAAAGTGAAAGGTTTCAAATCCAACACAATCTCATTCGATAACTAAGGTATATGTTATGCGCTAAATGAACACGCGACAGTTGTGTGCAAGCTCGCCAGTCGCGTGGTCTGCGTACAATCAACCAGAATGTAAACTGAAGGAAAAATCACACGAGCAAACCACGCGACGAGAGCACGGAAACGTTGCACCCTGATGTTAATCTCGATCGTCACTCGAATTTGCGAATATCGATCAAAGAGCAGCGGCAGCATTCAACATCGCACAGCCGAGGGATACTCGCGAATGCGCTCCAATACGTATTTTAAGGTCTTGTTTGACGTGCGTATTACAGCACTCAGTCAAGCGCTAGGTTACTCTAATATTAACCCCAGAATGTTTCTTAATGCGTACGAATTACACACATACCGGGGCTCAGACGCCCATCACACCCACCCAACAACACTAACTCAAACGCAGACTCACATACTCAACAAATCGCCCTCGGCGGCCTCCGAAATCGCGGCTTAAACCCACCAAACACAGGCACTCATCGGTTACGTCTTGCGTTTATTTCATATGATATATTACAGGGTATCTTTATGGGATACATTATCCTCACATATTATTATTATAAGGACCAACGAGGCAATGGCGAAAATTCTCTAAATTTGGTGCATTGCCATGGTAAATTAATTTAACTCTTGAATTAAATTAACAATTATCAAATGCGACAAGATTAATTGGCCGCTATATACGATCGTTTTGTTTTTATCTATTATCAAATCGTTTTTATTTCGTTTTTGCATTCGATTTATTAACTTTATTATTCGTTCGCTTTGCGAATTACTGACACCTTTACAAAGTACGTTTATTACATATAATCTAGTTAAATCAAATGTTCTTTATTATGATCAATATAATTCGATTCGTAAATTATTTATCGTTAATTAATTAATGCATCGAATAAATGATTTCGACATAAACACTTAAATCATACCTATAATTAATAAACAATACAAAACACACATTCGTCAACGCAAATAATAATTACTCGTAAATTAATTGTTAATTATTCGTTTCGCCCCTATCTATTAATTATACTTAAACTAAAAAAATAAAACATACACATACGAGAAACACTCACACAAACACCACACATGTTACATTACGTAATTACCAAGTAAAGGTAATGAAAAAGTACAGTACACAATGTTTACGCGATAATTAATGTATACAAGAAGCATTAATCAATTGGATATAATATAATATAATTTTAACTTTAAGTACAATTTGAATGGACGAACTAATGATGAAAAAAAATCTACAACAAAAATAAACGTTGATGCAGTTTCAAAATGTAGCTGAACGGTTTGCAAATTACATTTAAAACAATTAACAAACAAAAAAAAATACAAAAAATATGTGTAAATAATTGTTGTTCGTGATGATGGTGCACAAGACTTGGGCGCGTGCTTGACGAATTCGGTAACAAAGAAAATCCCTGTGCGCAAGACGACGCGCAGCTCTTGCTAAATTTTACAAACAAAATTACTATATTAGGTACTAAGTAAGTGTTTTTCAAAACAAAATTACTAATTAATAATTATTGTATGCGTGTGTCCCTAAACTAAATTTAACAATTGATCTTTGACTTACAATCGAATACACCAACATGATTGGTGTTTGATGAAATCAACAGGATTCGAAACGAACAAATTCGGATGATTAACGATGAGTACGTACGGACGATTCACAAAATGAATGTATGAACAAAAACATTTGACATTTGAGAGAGGACACGGTATGAGATGTTCCGAATTGTATTTTGGTCGCGATATTTAACGCGGAACTCGAGGCAATGATGAATGTGACGTTTGCAACGCGTCAGCGGTGTTGATTTTTTTTTGGTTTTGGGCCGAGACTTGTGCGCCGGACGTCTGTGTAGCTTGTAGTGTCCTCGACGTATATTCCTCGTAATCCTTTTAGATCTGTCTGATGATTGTTTAGCTTAGCTAGGAACAGATCTATTAAAAGTATATATTATATAAATGTTTCCTGTTATTAAGTGAAGATAATTCTATATGCTCGGGTTCGAGGGGCGGGCAGGTAATATTTAAAACGTAAAACAAAGCAAAAAAAAACAAATAATATTTGGTGAAGACTGTCGTAGAGAACCAGCGAGTCAGTTGACAGGTAGAAGAAGTAGTAGGCGCGATGTTTTCAAACACATTTGAAAAACGAACGAATTTTTTTATTATTAAAACAAAACCATTAAAATATATCGTATTACTACTATTAATTCTATTATTAATTTTATCATATTTATACTTATCTATAAGATGCATTTCATTACTATTATAAACGATTACGAAGCGTATACAAAACAAATGGGAATCGATGTGATTCGAGATTCGTTTAGGATTTAGTTGGATGTTTAGCCTATTTGTAATTTAAAGAATTTTTCTAAAATTAAACGGTTAGCGAATCCCGACGGCCCGACGATTTAGGCGTGACGACCGCAATCGAACCATTCGCTAAATACAATTTTAAGATGTGATCCCCCGGTTCGTCCCTTCAACCCGACACAATTTCTCCGTGCGAGTTACAAGGTGTGTTATGGTTTTTATTGTTTTTATGTTAAATATTTCGCCGATTCGGCTTGTTAAATAAATTATGATTGTTGTCTGACTGATTGCTAAAATAATAATGGACGGGAAATGCAGAGATGCTCGGGCATCAATGAACTAACTGCTTGTCTCCTCAGTACAAATTACATTTCAAAGCGCGACCGAGAAGAGATACTGTATATCGCCTGGACTTTTCGAATTTGAGCGAGCCGCGCACGACTATGATAAGCAAGAAAATGTTGAGATTAGGAGCACCATTCTAAGCGATCTGCACGGTTGACGGTAATTGCGAAAATAAATGAATTATTTTAAATAGAAAGCATTGCCGTTCTGATTAATTTATTATCGCGTCGCGTCGATTGCCTGCGATTGCAAGAATTTTAAAAAGGCAGATTGGATGGGGGATAGATAATCATACGTCGGACGAGGATACGGTTTTTCTTTTTGCTCGACGATGACGATCGGGAATAGACACCGCGGCGTGACTTTCAAGGAAGTAGTAGATAGGCAGACGTGTTCAGCTTATCGTCGTCGGGTCCGTTGCACCGGAATCGTTCAGATCGGGAATGTCGCGAAACCTCCTTTGGATACGTATCGTACCTCGTCGCTTGTCGTCGTGTCGTCGTACTCTGTCCGCTTGTGCTTAGTGAGAACTGACCAAAGGTAAACCTAATGAATAATTTTTAAAAAAATATGTCAATACTAATGTCAATACAGTGACTGCGTTTTCATTTTGGATCACAAAAGTAAGACGTGCTGAAAACACAAATAATGAAGTATTTTAATGTCAATCCAGAGCAATACGGTAATTGTAGGTAGTTAAAAAAAACATTAGGAGGAAAATCCAATTTTTTTAAATAATTATTATTAAACGATGACTCTTGGTTCAATTAATATATTTATATTTTGATATCTGATACTGTGTTATATTGCATTATAAGTGGTATAGTTAAATGATGAAAAATAAGAATTGGTAGTTAACTAACTAAAGAGAATCTAATCTAACAAATAACGCGAGTCTGCAGTCACGACTGGGACGATGCATTACATTCGCAGAATACAATACAAACGAATCTATGATAATACGATGATGAGCCAGATTGCAAATTACACCAAAAATAATTGAATAATCCCAATTAAAAATTCACAAAAAATATGTACATTAAGCCGCCGAGCGTTTTATCGACGTGTCGTTCTTGTAAACTACAGTTTAACGTTAAACGATTTTGCAAAAAAAAATAAATTCATTTACCTATATTTAAACAAAATATTACCTACACGTAAAAAATTAACTAACATTACATTGCATACACAAAAGTAATAATTAACGGTTAACGAAAATATGGAATAAATTAAAAAAAGCAAGAATATAATATTAATACTATATTGCGTAAGGATAATATTGGTATTTATGATATACTTTATAGCGATGTAAGATGTGCGATCCCCGTTTAGGAAATTTTATCTTTCAACATCTCACACACACACTCAACGAAAATAAAACAGTAAGACACACGCGAAGGCGAGGATTTGAATATGAAATTTTCAATTCAAATTTCGAAATTTTGTGGCTACCCAGCGCGTGGCCAACGTAAAATGCAAGTTTACGCGGAATGCTTTATTCGAGCCGATCTGGTAGGAAAAGTTTACATAATCATACACTCTTTCCGAAGGAAATTCTACAGGCAAAACTCTATTAACACCCCGCCATCGACATATCACCAGCGGCTGCTCGCGGGTCTTGTCACCGCCACTTTTTAGTCACCGACTCATTCAAAAAATCTATTATTCTAATAATGGTCGTTTACAAAACGAGACGGTTTAACCAACTAAATGAATTTCCAAAGGCAAAAATTAATCTACTAACACTCTGAAAGGAACGGTTTTAAATGAAACAAAGAAAGAACTTACTAATACTTATAAAATAAATGAATACTAATTTATAGGTAAAAAATTGAAAAAAAAATATGATAATGATAATTGAAAAAGAAAATTGATGAAAAATATATTATCTCGACAATATTGATTCACACTGTGAAAGTTTTCAGTTGTATAATTCAAACTGTATATCGTGGGCCTTACTATACACTGAAAATTAAAACGTGCTGTCCAAAATTAATTAATGATTATCGCTGATGAAAGCTTGAAAACGGATAAAAAGATAACAATGTGGAAGAATTTGATGATGAAAGACTAGTTTGTTCGTTTAGTTGTTAACTAACTGTGTAATCGATTTTATTCTTCTAAATCCATTGTTTTTGTATAATTTTGTTTGTTATCTCGATGATACTTCGAAACACTCTCAAACACACACACACACACCGGATCAAAGATATTCACTAAAATACCAAATGAAAAATGATAATAAATTCGATTTTAAACGACCGCGTGTTGTAGTTTGCAATTATTAGAGTCGCGCGTATGGTCTTTGAAGATACGAATCATTTATGACGTTCAATCGAAACCAAAAAAACCAAACAATAAAGTACACAAAAGAGCTAAAAAATACTAATCAATTAGTTTAAATGTCACACTGAAATGAACCACTGTAATAGGAGGATTACAATTGAACAAAAGTGAATCTATGAGGATGATACAATGCAAAACATTCAATGGAGATATAAAATAATGAAGAAGAAAAATCTTTTTGTATACTTAAAGCGCCTGCCGCGCGCGCGTTTTGTTGTGTTACTTTCATACGTACTTTAGGATTACGTTATTGAGTGTATACAAGTTGTATATATTATATAATATATATACTCTATATATAATATACATAATATATGAAATATTATTACTTTAAGCGGTAGCAAGTGGTCCGGAGCCGCCACCGTGTATTAAGGCATCCGCCCTGTCCCTGTGTTGCAGCCCTGTCCTGTCTGGTCCACTTCAGCGCGTACACGAGGACGAGCGCGCACGCACCGCTGAGTCCTGCCGCCTCCGGTTTTTTTGTTGCATAAAATTGCGATCCAACATCACACTTAATTTCGACTGGGGCTTAGGGAAACGCGCGCTCGCCGCTCGCGTTCGCCGCTTGATGTTTACGTAATTAATTCGTTGTATTTTAAATAAAACTACAGCCAAAAATAATGAAAACGGCTTCTTGCAATAAAAGAGCAATAACCATATTCCTTCTGTGGACGCTTTCGACTTTTACATTATAAGAATATATAATATTATATATGATTACATTATAATTAATTAAACAATTATTGTAAGTACGTACTTTAATGATCAAGATTTTACACTATAATGATATGATATATAATGATAATAAACAAGAAAATAAATACAAACAAATATTTGATGATGGTGGAGGATGAAGGATGATGTAATACGAAGTAATAATATTTGAATGAATATTTGAAAGCGATTAAACGTATATTATTGCTGATGAGCTGAAGAAGCAGCTGTTTGAAACAGTAACAAAACATACAAACAAAAAAACATTTAGGATGATTGTACAGATAGAGTTTGTAACATAATAACAAGAATTATGTTGTTTAGCACGACGGCGCTTCCGATCAAAACGTTGAATTGAAATACAGAAGAAATAAATAAATAACAAAGAGAAAACCCAATATGCGAGCGGCGCCGTCCTATGCTACCCCGGGTCTGGCGTTAGTCTGACCGTATTCATGTATATCTACACGTTCTACAATGTACATATATTATTACAATGATAAGACAAGGTTCACAACGTGCCGTGTGTATGTGGGATAAATATAATATGGACATTGTTCAATTTTTTGGCGTTTCTTGTATTATTCAATTATTTTCAGGAACCTTTTACACGACAGACCATATTTTGGTAAGTATTGTAGATGGCTACGGAAATGTTTCAATTACATAGTTGAAATAAATGTTACGATAAATGTTTTCATTTGCTTCAATTTAGTGGCGCTTCTATCATCTTCGATGCGCCGGCTATCAATTGTTTACCTTGTTTAGTCGGTCGAGCGCTGTGGTGCAGCGAGCACGTGTTTTGTTTGTTCGTCGATTTTTATAGCGACACTTTGCGTTTCTCAATAATTTAACTTGGTTGTGACATTACAATAGATTGGCCGTCGATTACATTTACCAGTAGATGATTGTGGCGTACAATTAATTGATTTATTTTTGGTGGAATAGTTTCGGGTTAATTCGGTTTAATGGCACATTGCTGTGTTTATCAATCGTGGATTAATTCACCTGTGCGCGCGTGTCCATTTCGCACATAAGAATAACATGGATTTATAATTAATTCCTGCAAATGGACAACTTTGATGCTCAGACAAAAAGTTTGTGAGTGCACGAATGGAGTATATATATATATAGCTGAAGTGTTGGAGATGTGTGTATTTAAGGCAAGTTTTTACTACTCTCGAATGTACTAGCTGTCGATATTTTTTTTATTTAAAAAATGTATCTATTGTAGTTGTTGCCAATAAAACACAATGTAAAATTATAATCTCATGCATATTTCTTTGTGGTATCCTCATTATCGTTTTCAGTATTTACGTCTTAAGTCATATTGCATATAAATCTTATGCGCGTGGAGCGAATGCAACATAGTTGTGTTGTGTTGTTGTTTTTAAAAAGTGGAAGAAAGTAAAAATATAAATAGAAGAATCAAATATTAATGATAAAAACACTCGGTGGTCGAGTGGGTACGTGCACCTGCTAGCATGCTAGTGGACACGGATCGAATCTCAGGTATAGAAGGCGTTTTTCTCAAATATAGGAATAACAGGTGTAATTTGGGTTGCATATGTAAACTCAAATGAAACATAAGAGAACTTGCAATAGAAGTGAAGGCAATATGAGAAGTAAGAAAGTAAGTGAAGAAACGGAGAACAGAGAAATGGCAGAAGTAGAAGAAGGAATAGCAGAGAAGAAGAGTAGAAGACAGAAGGAAGAGAACACGGAGTAGAGAAGAGGAGGAGATAGAAGAAAGAAAACAGGAGTGAGTGGGTCAGATTTTTAAATTTTTTGGCCACGTGTCGTTATAAGACAGTCTACGGTCGATCTCCCAGAGCGCCTACGGCGCTCTGGTCGATCGCCCACTGCTTCGATGCGTCCATTGCTCCCGGCCCAACCTACAGCTACGATGTCTCTGCGCTTCATCCCCGAAATTATCAGGCATATCAACAATTTTTATGGTGGGGGATCACCCCCAGAGAGAGGGAACTCCTTATAAGGACAATCCTTATAAGGTCTTGTAAAAATATTTCTAAGTTTTAAGTCGCCTCAAGAGAGGTGACACTTAAAAATATTCTTACAAGTTCTCACCTGTAGCTGAAATGAAAGAAGGAGCACACAAATCACACAGGATACCTTAACAATTTTTATAGTGGGGATCATCCCCTGAGAGAAAGAACTCTCTTCGAGACCTGTACGTGAAATGATAGAAAGAGGTACATACAAACCATAAATCAAAATCTTTCTTAACATTTCTTTATTAACAAATACAATTTGATACAATACAAGTTTAGATTTTAAAAGTCAACAAAATACATGTCGCCATATAGAAACAGGACTTGCGACCTGCTTAGCTGCGCACATATAAACAAGTATCACTTCCTACAGTTCTACCGGGGTAAAGAAATTAGCCAATTGCCCAATTTCTAGATGATGCAAAATGGATATAAATACACAGGGTGACACAAAAGGATAATTTAAAGTGCAAAGAAAAAACTCTCAACACTACAAACGCCGTTTGTTTTCACTCGACGGTCAGGGAAAATAATATTCAGGGTGTTCCAGAAAGAAAATTCAAAGTACAAAATGGAAAATGCTAAAAACGACAGCTAAAGCAAAATCATTATTAATCATTTATTTTCGACAATTATGAAAATTTGTAGAATTCTCTATCAGGTAAAAATATAAAATTATTAAAGTTCCTAGGCCAAACGGTCCTAAAACAATTATATTTTATGAATACGAGTCACTTCTACCGCAATCCTTATACGGTGTCCTGAATCGAGTCACTTCTACCGCTACCTTGGTACGGTGCCCTGAACACGAGTCACTTCTACCGTCACTCCCTACGGTGCTCTAAATCCGAGTCACTTTTACCGGTAGCCTCATACGGTGCCCTGAATCGAGCTACTTCTACCGCTACCTTGGTACGGTACTCTAATAACGAGTCACCCCTACGGTGCCCTGAACACGAGTCCCTTTTATCGCTAGCCTCGTACTGTGCAAAATGCCGTATATAGGTATATATATATATATATATATATATAAAATATAAAAATAAAAAAATTAAAAAAAATATATATATATGTATATATAAATCAAGTTATAGTTAATCTCTCCTAAAATCCAGAATTGCATGCAGTCTATATGAAAAGACATTTTCGGAGATAATCGCTCCTCTTGACACTTTTAGCGACTATTTTTGAACTTTTACTTCACGTAGGTAGTTAATATATTAAATACTACTTAATATTATCCTGTTCTATACCGAATTTTTGGAAATTTTATAATTATTTTACGAAGGTGTCGGTAAAAGTGACTCGTGTACCGAGCATTAACCGTTTACACCCTATTTACAATTTTAGGGAAACCTGCATTTTCCTTGAACTTCTTGTAAAATTTTTGTCGTTCTTCAAGAAATATACCATCTTGAAGAGATTTCTTAAGGGATCAAGAATATGAAATACCTACTTTGTTTCGTACCCTTTTTTGTTCTTAAGATAATCGCAAAAAAATTCGTTCTTCGAACGAAAAAAATTTTAACAAAAAAGTTGACACCGTTCTTCGACCGGAAAAGAATTTAACAAAAAAAGTTCAACTCTGCTGTTTGATAAAAAAAAATTTTAAAAAATTGGTAAAATAAAAAAAATTAAAAAAAGTTCGACTTTGTTTTTCGACCGAAATAAATATTAAAAAAAGTTCAGCTCTTCTTTACGATCGAAAAAAATTTATTAAAAGTTCGACCCTGTTCTTCGACCGCAAAAAATGTATACATATCAAGCTCGACCCTGTTTTTCGACCAAAAATAAATTATTAGAAAAAGTTCGACCCTGTTCTTCGACTGAAAAAATTTTAAGATAAAAAGTTTGATCCTGTTCTTCGACTGAAAAAATTTGAAGGTAAAAAATTCTACCCTGTTCTAAGACCGAGATACAGGGCGTTTTTGACCCCATGTTTTCAAATTATCCCAAAATTGCTCATTTTTGAAGGGCTTTGTAGGGCGCTTCGGGAAGAGCTGAAAGATTAGAGGATATGCATCTTGGGGATGCTCTAACTCTATTCTGGCGTGAAGAAACACTAAGAAAGTCTATTAGTTCACTAGATACAGGGTGATTTCCACACCATGTTTTCAATTTTTTCGGAAAATACTAATTTATAAAGGGCATTTTATATTACTTCCAGATGGGTTAGAGGGTTGAAAAAAAGGTTATCGTGCAGACAAACTCTCAAAATATAATATGACGTCAAGATATTTCAAGGAAGTCAATTAATTCACAAGATACTGGGTGCTTTATACACCAAGTTTTAATTTTTTTTGGTAAATGGCAATTTGTTAAAGGCACTTTTTAAAAGCTGGGGGGTTGAACAGATAAGCGTCGTGTAAACGGTCTCTCGAACTCATCGCACATGCATACGCGACAGACATTGAGATTACATTTCTCAAACAGTATACGAGCAATATTTAATTGAATATGTGATTTCAGCATTAAGAATACAAAATAATTATGCCAGCTGAGAAAAATACGCGCAATTAAAGGGACGATCAGCACGGTGAAATCAGCATTCTGTAGAGAGACTGAAAACGCATCCGCCGGCATGCGACAATTTGGAATTACGACGGTACTCGCGTATCATACTATTAAAGATACAAATATATTAATATTTGTAAACTTACCAGTGTGTTGAATTATTAAATTAAGTACTGAGACAGTAAAACCACGTATGTTAGAATTCTCAGTATGCTGCGCACTTGTTAAGTCGGATATTTCTCGAAAATATACACTTCTGCCGAGGGCAAGCGTGGATCACGCATACCCGAATTAGCAATTGTATACAAATATCTAACTCCAATGCTTATTATCAAAATAATTCATTGGCCGACGGAACACTTATGCACCAAAAAGACACGACTTTTATAATCGCTTCACGGACAAATTATCATTCACAAAATACTAAACACATCATTAAGTGCCGATGTTTACGTCGATATTTATATCGAATTATAAAATGTTAAGTAATTCTTTGAACTGAAATAAAGGAAAGAAACGTGACGAGTCGCATGCTAGCAAGAACAGACTGAAACGTTCGAACGTTTGTAGCGCGGGCACAGCAGCATGGAGCTGGTTCAACACGAAAACGATATCGATATCTCAATCGAAAACAGCGCGATTTACCGAATTAACACTTCGTCATTGCAACTCGCGAGAAACACCGCACAGGTACGCGAACTGGGTCCCCGCAAAGACGAAAGATAAGATGCGACTGCCTGAATGCAATACACTTAAGTAGTATCGCTGCGCGAGTGTTCACACCCCGTGCGTATTGGCAGATGTAAACAAACAAGCTGATCAAAACACATTGTGACGTGTAAAATCGCGTGATCTTACCAGGCCCGCCATTTGCCAGTCAAGACGTTGTGCACTCACTACCACCAACAAGCAATAGGCTGTAACAAACGAATTCAGAATTAAATATAAATTTGCACATTTTAGCGACATCTTACCTGAAATTGAAGAATTATACTTAAGTAAACATGAAGCCACATCGCGTGAATTCACATGGACG